GGAGCGCGCGCATACGCGGGCACGCGCGCGCGCACGCCCGGGGGCTGGCGCCGACCCTGCAGGCAGGGCCGGGAAGGAGGGGGAGGGGAGAGGAAGGTGGTGTGGGCTGGAGGTCGAAGGTTACCGCTGCCGCCTGGACCGCGGGTGCCAGATCGGGTGGCCCTGCAGCTGCTGCTGCGGGAGAAAGAAAGGTGGCGAGGGCCGTGCCGTGCCAGCCCTGGACTGCATTTAAAGGCCGCCGGCACCCGCTCGGGAACAGGGCGGGGACCCGGCTAGGTTGCTGCGGCTTGCTCAGCTTGCCCTACCCCTCGGCCATTGGACGGTGGCTGGAGGCCGGGGCGGGAGGGACGGGCCAGCTCGGGTCGGGCGTGCGGGAGGGCTGGGTCCCAGTTGGAGCTCTCCAGCGGGTCTGTGGGTGGGGTTGGAGGCTGGGGAAGTGAGGGCCCGACCTGCCAGGTGACAGGTGTTTGTGACAGCCTTCCCTCACCACCACCCCCAGCCTCCTAACCTTCCTTCTTCTGCCACGTCCTGGTGGCGAGTGGACGGTGGGAGGCTGAAGTGGAAGTCGAGGGAAGAGTGTGTGTGTTGTGTGTGTGTGGCGGGGAATTGATGCTGTATTCTGAAGCTTGAGAGACGGTCTAATTTCTTTCACAGAATTCCAGTAAAGTGGGAGAAAAGATTCTTTCAGCTCTCCAGGATTGAAAGATACTTAATGAAAGGTCTCAAAGCATGCAGAAATAAATATTTGATTCAAAGAAAGGCAGAGAGGACTGACTCAGAGTGGAAACCTTTCTGTCCCAGGAGGCTAGATACAGAACATTTAAAAAAAAAAAAGGCCTGTTTTCCTTCTACAAGGATGGACAGGTCTGGGGGTCCCCGGAGGCTCTCTTGCACACGGTCTAGCTAAATTGTCCCAAATTAAATTGGACTCATGACTGTTCTCAGAGAGCTTCTGATTTTCACTAGTCTTCTGCCCAAGCTGGTGGTAGTAAATTTTCTACTGAAAATCTCTCCATATCCTTTCAAGAGAAATTCCCAGGGGGCACACCCCTCTAATTCCAGGGCACATTATGGCATTTTCACACTAGGATGATTATTGTAACTTCTCAGATAAAGCCATTATCACCATACCCTCTATTAGGTAACATCCTTGGCTTAAACATTCCATTGTGTGAATCACCAGGGTGTTTTACACTAATAAACAGGAAGCCTGTGTCACCTATTGCAATGCCATGCGACCCTCAGAGACTTCTCAGAGACTCCCTTCCATGCGCAGCTAATGGCTGTGTGGCATAAGAACATCACTGTGGCTTTTGTGTCTTAGTTTGCTCTTCATGGACCAGAGCTAATCATGGTAATCTTAGTCATATAGGGAGAATTATCTGCACATGTCTGTAAGTCCCATTCATAGCCTTTGTGGAGGTAGATCTCTGAATTAGAGACTGCGGTGCTGCACAATTGTGGCTCCTGTTTGCCGGATTTACACATTATTTTTAAATATTAGGCAATTATAAGGAGCTCGGGTGGTGCCGTGGAGTCGGCCCCGACTCATAGTGACCCCTCCTTGGGTTTCCGAGGCAGTATCACTACGGAAGTAGGATTGCCCAACCCTCCGGAGCTCTGGTAGCATAGTGGCTAAGGCACTTGACTGCTAACCAGAAGGCTGGCGGTTCATATCCACCAGCCACTCCTCGGAAGGAAGATGGGGCAATCTACTTCCGTAGTGATACCGCCTCGGAAACCCAAGGAGGGGCCGCTATGAGTCGGATCCGACTCAACGGCACATAACAACAACTGGTGGTGCAGTGGTTAAGGCATTCAGCTGCAAACCAAAAGGTCAGCTGTTTGAACCCACCAGTCTCTCCGTAGGAGAACGATGAAGTAGTCTGCTTCCATAAGGATTTAGGGTTGCTATGAATCAGGATTGACTCAATAGCAGTGGGTTTGGATTTTGTGGGTAAGCAGTTATAGAAACTATTGGAATTTTGAAAGCACACTTCAGTATATTTCTATTTCTGGGAGTCTTGAATAGGGGAAAAGCATCCCTAGGTATATACCCAGTAGAATTGAAAGCAGGAATGGAAAGAGATATTTGTAAAAGAGGGTTCAGTGCAGCACTATTCACAATAGCCAAAATGTTGAAACAACCTAAATGTCTATCAACAGATGAATGGATAAACAAAATGTTACAATGAAATATTATTTAGCCATAAAGATAAATGAAATTTTGACATGGGACAACATGATGAACCTTGAAAGCATTATGCTGAGTGAAATGAGTCAGTCATGAAAGGACAAATGTATGATCTCACTTATGTGAGATACCTACAATAGGCAAGTGCATAGAAACCAACATTTACTAGTGTTACAATGGGCAGGCAAGCAGGAGGAAGGAGAAAAGAACTCAATGCTTAGCAGACACTGAGCTTCCATTAAGGGTGATGGAAAATAAGGGAATGCATAAGGGTGATGACTGAACAACATGATGAACAGAAGTTAATGTCATTAAACTATATATATGTGAAGCTTGTTGAAATGTAAAATATGTTGTTATATATATATTTACAACAATAAAAAAGTAAAAAATTATTAAGGACCCCTAAAGAGCTTTGATGTATGTGTGTTATATTTACAGCCATATCTCACTTTATGGCACTTCGTAGATACTGCGTTTTTCACAAATTGATCTGCAACCTTGTGTCGAGCAAGTGTATCAGTGCCCTTTTTCCAATACCATGTGCTCACTTTGTGTCTCTGTGTTACATTTTGGTAATTCTAACAATATTTCAAATTTTTTCATAATGCTATTTCATGCTTAGAGCTCTGGTGGTGCAGTGGCTAATGCATTCAGCTGCTAACTATAAGCTCGGCAGTTCAAACACACCAGCCACTTCACAGGAGAAAGATGAGGCAGTCTGCTTCTGTAAAGATTTACAGCCTTGGAAACCCTATGAGGCGTTCTACTTTGTCCTAAAGGGCCACTATGAGTCAGAATCAACCAAACAGTGGGTTTGGTTTTTGGTTTTATTGCACACTTAATAGATGGCCCAGTACCATCAAGTTGATTCTGACTCATAGTGACCCCCATTGGGTTTCCAAGGCTGTACATCTTTAAGGAAGTAGATTGCCTCATCTTCCTCCTGTGGAGTGGCTGGTGGGTTTGAACTGCTGACCTTCTGTCTAGCAGCCAAATGCTTTACCCACTTTGCTACCAGAGTACTTTTTATAGACTACGGGAGCTCTGGTAGCATAGTGCCTAAGACACTTGGCTGCTAGCCAGAAGGCTGGTGGTTCAAACCCACCAGCCACTCCTCGGAAGGAAGATGGGGCAATCTACTTCCGTAGTGATACTGTCTCAGAAACCCAAGGAGGGGTCACTATGAGTTAGGTCTGACTCGATGGCACATAACAACACTATTGACTAGTTGGCTGATCCTGGCCAAGTTACTAACCTTCTCTGTACCTCAGTTTCTCCACCTGTAAACCAAAGATGATGACGACGAAGATGATAATGATGATGAAAATGCCTATTTTGAGTTACTGGGAGGATTAATTAAATTGGTTCCTATACCTCCCTTAAGGAGCTCTGGTGGTGTAGTGCCTAAGGCATTTGACTGCTAACCAGAAGGTTGGCGGTTCAAACTCATCAGCCACTCTGCTGAAGGAAGACTGGGCAATCTACTTCTGTAAAGATTTACCACTTCAGAAACCCAAAGGGGGTTGCTATGAGTTGGAATCAACTTGATGGCAGTGAGTTGTTTTTTCTCCCATACCTCCCTTATGGAGTTCTGGTGGTATAATGGGTAAGATATTGGACTGCTAACCAGAAGGTCAGGAGTTCTGGTGGCATAGTGCCTAAGGCATTTACCTGCTAATCAGAAGGCTGGTGGTTCAAACCCACCAGCCACTCCTCGGAAGGAAATTGGGCAATCTACTATCCGTAATGATATTGCCTTGGAAACCCAAGGAGGGGTCGCTGTGAGTCGGGTCTGACTTGAGGGCAGTGAGTTTGA